ATAAAGCGCTTGGTGAGCGCTAAATACTCTTGATCAGTGTCACAGTTGCTGCCTATTGTTTTAAACCTATCTGTTAATTTTTTTGGCTTGTAGATCTGTGTTGTAAACTCTTTATGAGCCCCTCTGTTTAATTTATATTCGCTTGTGTTGTAAACTGCTGAGAGAAAGTGTTGTAAATTGGTGACAGCAAAAAAATTGTGCTTATTTGTACTGGCTTGTGTCATTGTCATTGAACCACTGAAGGTTGTGTTTCGATTGTGTTCATATTTTGGTTGTTTTGTTTATTGGTTATTGCCAAAGAGTTGTTTATTATTTACTTGGCTTGTGTTGCACGTGTTGTTGGCTCGTTGTTTGCCTCTCATTGGAAAATATACATTGATTTTAAAACATCAACAATCAATTTCTATTTTGTAGAAAAAAAATGACATCCTTAAAAATAAAGCCAATGGATTGAAAATAACATTATTCTTTGGGGTATGCTAACAGAAAATACATGAGTGGATAAATAAATGAATAAATAATGTGTGAATGAATAAACCTTTGGTGTTGTGTACATATTTCGTAGGCTTGTTGTTGTATGATGTCTTTATTGATGTTTCTTGGCTTTTTCATCCACAATATCACAAGTATTTACCATTTTTTTATGACTGCCTTATCTTCTCATGTTGTACTATCAGTCATTTATTCTACTTTCCCAACCTTGTCAAAACTGACTTATTCTACATACTCCTTCAAAATTATATGAGGAGAAATAAATTTGTTCTCATAGGGCATATCAAACAGAGTGTTCCTCAATTTACATCCGGTAGTTGTAACTGTGGTAATCACTCTGTCATTGTCTTTTCTTTTACCACAACACAAAGTAAGATTAAAAAAAAACACATTGAGCAGAGGCTCACCTTACATTTTATTTCAGCCTTCCCATTTACATTTCTATTAACTGCCCTGATATTTTGGGAAAGTTTTATACAGGATTTGCCTTACCCTGTAACCCCTAAGAAAGAATTAGTATCTAATAACCCCCTACAATATCATTCCTTAATCAAAAATTTAGGTCACACGGATAAAGCAAATGATCATGGATGAAAGGTCTTGATTATTAAGAAAATAATTAGTTATGATCATCAGCACCTTAATAGGAAATGCATGGGGAAGAGTATGGAGAAGAGTATGATGTAACCAGCTGGGTGTAAAGGGTTAAGGAAATGTTTAAGTTCTGTGCAGCATTAAATCTCTCTACTTGAGGTGCTCTTTACTTCTTGATGTTATCACTTTGAAATTTGTTTTTCTTTCCTTGAAACAGTAGATAAAAATATGTTAAATACAAAGCCACTGTTCACTTTTGGAGTTTAACTTCAAAAATTTTTTCTTTCCAGCCTGATGACCAACTGCTTTTTCTTCATTGAATGTTGTTAAAATTGTGTGCAACTCAACATCACTAGATATTATGCATTAGAAATTGTGTATTATGTTGCTCATGTTTACCGGGTGTTTGTGCTATTAGTTAGACCTCATCTTGCAGGCCTGCCATACCCTGCATGTGTCCACATATGCTGTACAGATGAAAGGAAAAAGCTTCGATGTTGGCTCAAAACACTCTTTAGGAAATACCAGTCTATTTTATCTTTGTTTTGGGTTGTTGTTATGTTATCAATGTGCAAAAATAGTTGAGTTACACAATCCAGGTTTTCTATTCAGCATGATGATTAGGTCAAAAAAGTTGGCACCAACCATGTATTTTTTTGACATGATACGCAAAGTCCATATATTTTCTTTATTGATTGCAACAGATTTGATATCTTAAGTACAGAGTTAATTTAGCATAACATATATGTGATTTGTCCTTGTTATCATAAGGTGGCAAACCTTGATGTCACAATCTACCTTTGATTGAAAATTTTCATGAAAGGTTGATTGGAGCTATACAATAAGGCTGCTTGAAGGGTTGTAAAAATGAGGCCGGATCTCAACATTTTTCAGCATGAAATAAAATACACCCCTTATGACTAGCAATCTGATCTTGAAATTCTCAATAATTTAAGAACATATGATAAACATTATGATAGTCTACTATTCAAGGAACTTAATCTTGCAAAGAGTAAAAGTTCTCTGAGATCATGTGGTGATGCCCAGCAAGGATTTCTGAGGACGTAACTCCTTGCATTGTGACATTTTCACACTGTACCATTGAGGATTGCCTTGCCAGCGAAGTTCCCTGCGCACAAACAAACGAAAATTTGTTTCAAATTTATTAAATTATCAAGACTGGTTGACAAATAGAGAAGCCTTGACTGTACTCTGTCCTGTTGGAAAGCACACCGGAAGCAGAAAAACATTAAGTACAAACACAGGCATGCGTATCATACAATAATTAATTTTTAACTGGAGGTGTTGCGGTAGGACACTTTGTGAACCTATTGTTTTCATTTTTGGAACAGAAAAAGAGCATAACTTTAAAAAGAATGAAAATATTGTGTTACTTCACCTTAAGGAAAGAAAAAAAGGCTAATTTATCTTAACTCTCACAAGTTCTTTGTGGTCTATTGTCTTTATTGTCTAAATACTTCTCAGTAAAAATGAAATGCATCATTGCCACGCCTACTGTAGTCTCCTTCGCAGCCATTGTCCGGTCTTGCCACACAACGCCCTCTCTTCCCCATTGGAAAGAGAGTGCGTTGCGTAACGAGACCAAATAACGTTTGCGAAAGAGTTGACTTACTGCCGTTTTTCCTAACAGAGAGTAAATAAAAATGATTCGTCTACAGTTGGCTGCCTCAAAATATGATTCCACGTAATTTAACTAAGAAAAGCAAACTAAAACTCTGTGTTATCTTCAATAGACCTAGCCAAACATATATTTCAAATAAATGAATTAAGCAAGAGAAAGATATTCTAATGCCCAAAATGTGTGATCTGATTGGTGCGAGCAACATACCGCTCTACACGCTAACATAGAGTTATTTTTTTCATTAAAAAAATAACTCAAAAAACCCGCCGAGATGCCATCCTTATTCTATAAATGGTCTATAATCAAGCTGTCCACCGGTAGAGCTTTTAATTCATTTCCATGGTCTCTCTCTTCCGTTTTCCTTTTCTATAATGTTTTTTCTTCATCTAAATAAAACCGAGTCTTTATCGCTATCTCTCATCAAACAAAATTACAACACAACATGAGCCCATGAGCGAATATACTCTTTGAACGGTCTAAACCATGATATTTTTGTCACATTCAAACCTTTGGAAGAAATGGATTTTAAGATTGTGAACAGTTCGGTTCGGTCACATCAACTTGGATGAGCATCGCAACCGAAAAGAACTATTTCTGGAGGTTAAGAGTCAAAAGGAAGACATCAATTTAGTTCTCGTCCTTCGTTATCAGCCAGTTTCCTTATACAATGAAGTAAATTTTACCAGTTCCTTTAACCTATATGTTGCTAAAAAAGCCTCTTTTAACTTAAACGGTTAAAGGACTCCTATTTCTGTGCAAAAAAACTCTGCCATTGTATCCATTACTCCACTTTTTACCACGGATCAAACGTACAAGTCAACATACAGCTTCCCTCTAGATTCTGTTTTTAAACGAGGAATAATTATTAATTGCCATTAATTTTAGAAATGACCCTTCTATGCCCTCTTTCAATCGCTAATTCTACGTGAAGCTGAGACAATAACGCAAGAGGCTGAAAATTATTGCATGAACAAGCGTTATTTGCGTATTTCTTTGTCTTGTGTCTAATCGAACTCAAGATGAATGCAGTCAAGTTACCCTGCTTTATACCGGAGAGAAATAAACGAAAACGAAGAGGATATGTTTTGAATGTCATAATTGCCTCCCTTTAAATTTTCCTGCAGAAGGACAATTTTATTGACGCTGTTGATTTGAATACAGAGCTATCGGGATTAAACCTCACAGAAATAAAGGCCGAGGCTTTAGGCGAAGAAAAAAATCTGTACGCATTCATTTGCAGCTTCTCGTCACTGAAAGTCATACTGATCGTTGTCATCCATTCACAAAGCTTCCTCAGTATGCTGGTCTCGTCATCTTCTTCTGATCTTGAGATGAGCTTAGTTCTTGTTATCTAATAGGATCAGGGGAAACGGGTTATGCCATTGCAAACTGAGTTAGGAAAAGGGAAAAATAATGAAAGGAAGGAAGTACACCACAACTAACTTTAGACCAAAGCTGAAAAACATTATACGGATCTGAAGTTAATTTTCCACCTTCAACCAGTATCAGTCACTCTCGTCTAAATTCCCTGACACCACCTTAGCCGTGGGTGACAACAACAGAAAACACGTACATATTTGCCATCGCGTGCTCACTGGAGGCCGCACAACATGTTTATTGAATAAAACTAACACAGCAACATTTTGTTAACCCATTCAATTTCAAAACATAGCTATCAGGACTAGACTTCACTGAAATATATTAAGGCCGAGATTTTAAGCAGAATTGTGCACGCGTTCATTTAAAGCTTGTCGTCGTTGACAGCCACAGCGATAATCGTCTTACATATATTTACTCCAGTACTCCGTTCTCTTGGATCGGATGTAACGCAATCGACTTTCATCATTTCATATGAATCGCTTGGAAATACCGTCGCTACATCCTGGATTCGTTGTAATTTATGCCATAGTATTCCCGAAAACTGATTTTGATGGCCCAGTTTAATGTCTGTTGAAGATTATGCGATTTCTTGTCGGTAAAAAATGATTCCTCCAAAGCTTATTTTCAGTTCATCCGTACGTTGCTAATGATTACTAAGATACTAGGAGTTGGTCAGTTTCATAAACTCACCCTTATCACTGTCCAAAATGTATCCACTCGGACGAATTTACGAACCTATATTTATTTAATTAAAGAGTAATTATAAAACTATTCTAAAATAACTTTAATGAAACTTGATCTGCAAAAAAAGGTGCAACCGTTTCTTGGACAGTCTATAGTAGATAGAAATCACAAATCTTCTGTTCCTTGACCTCGGATATTACAAGTGGAATCATGCAAACTCTGTGAACAACTGTAAACACATAAACATATTTATGAAGTATTACACATACAATTTATAAACATCACAACAAATTTTAAAATAAGATTTTTTGCTGATAGCTACGATCATTTCTCGCGAACATCGACAGTGGACTGGCTGTTACACATTCAGAGGCAGTAATTTGACATTTTTCTCAGTCCTCTGAATTACGCCCCAGAGAACGAAACCCAAATGCTTTTTTTTTTGCTTTTAGTGCTTTTTCCTTTGTTTGTTTGATAGCCTTTGCAGCAGCATTAGCAGCAGCATTAGCAGCAGCAGCAGCAACAGCATTAGCAGCAGCATTAGCAGCTTGCTCTATTTTTCCACTTCCTCTTATAAAAGCTTCAAATTTGTCTGAGTCATGTAAACTGATGTACAAGTCACCATCAGCCTTCCTCATTTGTAGATCATCGATAATGCATTTAGGGATACAGCTATTTCTATATTTATACTTTACATCGTTGTCTTCAAACGATACCTTTCCGTTGCGAACACGAGTTTTTAATAATAGCTTTTTTCCAGTATCAAGCTGTATTTCCTCATCCAACGTAAATTGTTTCAAATTGTGATCAACATAACACTCAGTTGACCCATTACTGAGCTTAATGACTCTTACTCCAACTGGAGGTTTGTTCCAGAAACTGTGAAACAGCCTCTCTTGGATGTCACTAGGAACTTGAAATTCAGGGTCCCCTATTTGAAGGTCCTCTTTCTGATAAGATATCTCTCCGCGACGAACGAAACTTCTTAGGACAACAACAGGAGGGGGTCTTTCTGAGAACTGTGTCCCCAGGACCAGCTGCTGACTATTTTGAGCACTCATCTCATCAATGCTTTTCCTTTCTGAGGAATTCCTTTGAGGATAGTTTTCGCTTACTTTGTATGAATATGTGGACAACAAGTAAGCGTTTACATCCTGTTCTTGAGAGATAGACTGTGCATTTGGCGTAGAACATGGCATTTGAAGACTCAAAACATGGTACAAAATATCTGGATCTACGGTCAGCTTTCCATTGTTTACTTTCACAACAAACGTTTTCTCTAGTTTATTGATTTGCCCAATAAACTCATCGCATTTGTTTGTTGTTGATTGCCCATTGCAAACCAAGATAATGACTTTTTTAACTGTGAAAAGAAAAAAGGAGAAAGCTAAGCAAGTCGCTCGATACGGCATGATATTTACTTAGTTAAGAGGATCAAAAGCACTTCATTCTACTCAAGTAAAATCTCAAGTTAAGACTGTTTTGTTAATTTCTTCACACCCATTTAGTCGTTACTCAATTCTAATCATATGAATTTTGTTTCAAGAATTGAGCTGAGTTGTTCGAATACTATCAGCACCAGCACCCTTTCTGTCACTATGTCAGGTTAAAACTAACATAGTGACAGAAAATCTATAAACAGCTAACAAAGCATTAGTGTTAGTCGTGTTTCGAGCTGCCTAAATATTTGTTACTATGCCTGTGCTTATAGAAGTTCAGTAAATGCATAAAGGTTATCTACATTTACGAAAAAAATGATCTCACTACAAAAGAGGAGGAGCTGCTCACGGTCAGTGGGATGATCATCCCTTTCCTAGACCTCCCCTACACGCTCTCCTAGAAAATGATTTATCAACTCAAGCGGTAAAGATTGTCTTTTTGTCAGACGAAGTGAGTGTTTTTGATTAAATGCATCGAAATACAACGTAATTATTCAGGGGATAAAAAAAATAAGGTAATGAGAAAAAAAACGTGATATGAAGGATTTTTATGAGATTAACTTATCAGTTCAATTTGAAGACTTACCGACTTTATCCACTGCAAGTCTTACAAGTCGCTGTAATTCCTTTGATCTTTCATCGTCACAACCATCCCTCACGGTATAACCGTCCACCACCAACATAGCGAATCTGAAGTAATAGTCCCTCAAATATTCTTCAACTTTGGTGATTGGGAGGTTGCCAACCAAAGGATCCTTTGACAAATGAAGGCTGGGAAGACTGTTTGCAAAAACTTTTTTCGCATCATCCATAGACTCACATGACACATTACAGCCAAGAATCGACAATTCTAAAGAGAGAGAGACGGAAAGTCGTACACTTAAAGATTATCTTGAGGAAGAAGTATGCATATTGAGATCCCAATGAGTAACTCAACCTGGCTAAATGTGCTTAAAACTCGAACATAAACGCCGTCATTTTGAAACTAACAAAGTTAGCTGGCCACACGAGCAAAACCACCACGAAAAAACAATTTCTTTAGATAATTTATTTTCGAGTGGCTCTTGATTAATCGAACAGATTAACTCCATGAGATGAAGAGAAAAGAATCGATATTTGGAACCGAGAAAGGTGGTCGGCCAAGTTGCTGGGCAAGGTTAAAAAATGGCAAGCGTCCATAATCAACTATAAGCTCAGTTGAAGACAATTGTTTTAAGTTAGGATACTGTCGATGGTAAAGATAAAAATTAGATGGTTTTTGGAGCATGATTCTCCTTTAACCGTGTGTGCATGGCTGCCAAATAATGGCAACGGTCAGTGCGTTGGAACCAACAGACTTCCTTCTGTTAGTAAATAAGAAGCCGACACAGCGACAAAGAAACTCCCACGAGAAAAATTCTGCAAACCAGAAATTGGAATTTAGAATTAGCTGAAACAAGACGCTAATAGTTTTCATGGGTAAACGATTAGCAAAACTTTTCTCGGTGAAAATCTTCATAAAGTTTCCGATATGAATCAAAGAGTTGAAACATATGGGCAATTGACCTCAGCACTTAAAAAGGCACCATTTGGCCATGCCCCTAGCAGAGGTAGAAGTTTAGCAGTTCACTTCCTACTAACTTCTCAAATCTACATACCTTGGAGACTTCAAGTGGGCAAAATGACAAGAGTTACCGAGGAATTTTGCTTTCGTCGGCTTTATCACCTTTCAGATAATGCGCAGATTAATTCGGAGCTTCAACATTCCCCCCGGGCAACCCGCGGTAATTTGACCGTCATCCTTATCAGGGGTGGGGAATTTGAACATTTTTTGGCTGAGATGGGGAATTTCAACCGAATAAAAGTTTTTATTTTTAAAAATAGGGAGAGTTTGAAGGTATAGAGTTCACTTTCGCGGGCGAATTCCTCAGAAGGAAAGGTCTGCAAGGTCTAGTTTTTAAAGCTTGGTAAATGAGTAGAAAGTCGCGGTCGCTGATTCCGCCTTTTACAAAAAAAAAATTCACCATCAATTCCGCCACTTGGGGAGGGCATTTGGAAATAATTTTGGGCCCGGAACAAGAATTTTAACATACCAATCTTTAAAAGTTTAAATCCACAGGGGGCTTCCTGGATGTTGAAGCTTCCGATTGATCGACGCATAAGTGGGTAAGGTGCCTAAATATTTTCCTGTAAATCTGTTTTTAAGATTTTATTCTAACCTATGGTTTCTCCGATACGTGGACGAATAATTTCCTCAGACCCGGCTCCTTGATTATTAGCAGTTGTTGTGCTTGCCTTCTTCCTCGAAATATTGCTGCCCTCGGCTCTACTATCAAGAGTCTTCCATTCTTTGATCTCCCTTGCACCAGTTACAGCTTCATAGTGACGCAGGGAACTTTCTGGTTTAAGTGGCGGCTCTGATTCATATTGTTGTTCGCCTGACAAGGAAAAACATCTACGAAACGGATGTATCACCTCCTCCAATCTTGATGGCGGTGGTGTTGCTGCCTCTGGTTGTTCCTTTCGCTGATCCGGCTGATATTCGAACTTTAGTCCGTTCTTGTTTGGATCAAAGTGATGCAACAGAGCTTGTTCGTGAATCTCTCGATGTTTTTTGTTCCAAGAAAAGATGAAGCTCTTTCTGCCATCAAGATACTCTTCGCTGAACTGTGAGAAAACTTTCCTTTTCGCCCAACGTGAAATAAGCTCACGTTCCTCTTCGTCTTCGCCCTTGTATTTGTTATCTCCCCCGATAACGATGATGACATCTCCACCTGATAATAAAGCAGATTCAAATGTAAAAAGGCGTAACAGTACATATTTCCACACGATATGCAATTTCCAATGTTTTGTTGTTGGCCAGTGTGTTTGTATCTCCCATGTCAGACACACTTAATCAAATTCCTTCCTAATGACCAGATGTAAAATATGAAACAATGCGCCCCTTTGACTGAGCACCTGGTGTTACCGCCCTGCCGATATTTTTAATTGTAGCAATGATTTTTGTACGTTTAGTTTTTTATATATATATATATATATATATATTTTTTTTTGTTTCTGTTTTTTTAATTGTATTTTTCTTACTTTCATACGTCTTATACATGAGCCTCAGGCTCGAATACACAGGGGAACCTGATCCCACGCATTAACATTAATATTGATACGTGTACATGTATAATCCGTATTGCACGAAAGAGACCTGACATATACTATTTGATTAACGAAGTGTTTATGCAAAGGCCCTTGAGAAGTCTTCGGAATCTCATTTGGTTACTATTTTTGTACCTTTTATTTGTGCTCGTGAAAATGAAACAAAGTACCTCGTTTCTAACAAAGAGCACATAAAATTTAAGAGCTAATGTCAACATGCATCAGACAAACAGCAACAAGTCACCCAAAATTTGCTTACAATCCTACTTTCATATTTTGTAGCCCAATATGTCCTAGTGTTGATGCTACTTTTCGACATAGGGAAAGCATGTCGGACAAAACTATTCACCAAAAAATAACTACTTCTTTGCCAGCTTCAATAACGACAGGGGATTAAGTTTAGATGATAAAACAAAGGACTATGTCGATAGAAATACCGGATGTTTAGTATATTCGTTAAATGAGGTCACACAACTCGGGTAATATTCACGGTTAAAATTTGCATATTTGAGCGGTCAAACGAAAAAAAATATTTCTCGAAAACTAAAATATGTTTTCACAAAAAACTACACCACAATTATTCGAACATATTGGGCTAAAAAATATGAAAGTAGGAGAGAAAACGAATTTTGGGCGACTTTCCAAAATATTTCAAATTTGTTCGATAGATGCTGACATCCTTTCCTAACATGTCATCGAAATAACACTATGTTTCTTGGTTTATCTATGGTAGTCGGAGGTCCATTTCTTGTTACCCACAAAATTTCCTTTCATAATTCGAACGATTATTCAAATTAATTTCATTTGCTTTAAAAAAGCGTTTTGAACCCATGTCAGTGGTATAGATATTAAACTGCTGATAGCTGACAAATGTTCACCTTTCCAATTCGGTTTCAATGGTAAACTGTTTTATCATATCAATTCTGCGTAGGAATATGCCTTGGCTGCTCAAAATCAGTATCCGAAGAGAGGCGCCTCTGATTTGTTCAGCATTCATCATTATGAGGAATTAATTCAATGTTCCCTTAGCCGTTATTCATTGAAGCAAAATGGCTTTTAAATATAAATTTGCTTTCACTCTTTAACTTATACAATCCTGAAGGTCCCTGACGGTTTCACTTACAGTTGCATGCAGTTGATTTTCTTAGACCCAACTTGAACGAGTGGCATGCAAATGAAAATGTAAATAAATTGCGGTATTCCCGGACTCTATACGTTTTTTATTACTTTCCAGAGCAAATACGAACAATCTTCAGAATTAAATGACAAGCACTGAGTCATGTAAATCTTATATCTTAGTGGTTTGAACGATCGACGTTGAACCACGTATTCAAGCCGACACATACGCACACGTAAATTGGGTTTAACCTGAAAAAACGAATTAAGATTGACCCAAGATTCTTGGAAACAGTTCCTTTTGTCTAATCTGTCTTATCATAAGCATTCGCCGGAAGTTTGCTTCCGTCTTCATTTAGGAAAGGAAAAAATAAAATCAACATTTATAAAATAAATGCGAGCATATTACCTTACATTGCCTAAAATTTTGATCGCCAACAAAAGAAGGAAAACAGATTATCGGAAACGGTTTTAGTCGCTTCCGCTTAAATCGTCCGCCGCTTTATCCACCGAATCACATCGCGTTAGTTTTATACAGTCGATTACTTTTCTTAGTTGCCAAATTAATCATACAAGGAAGAGATTTTTCCTTTCTTGCTCGGCAGCAAATAAAAAAAGCGGTTCACAACTGAATAAAAAGACACAAACAACCCAGTCTCAAGCCGATTATCTGTTGCCTTCTTTAAACCATTGTGTACCTCCAAGTTATTGTCAAGAGGCATTCGAGTGCATTTTTTTTCCTCAGCGTAGGTATCTCAAACAAAGTGAAATTGTATTTCTGTACCGAGAATTCGAAGCCGGGTTTCGATTTCCTCGCTCGTAACAGATCCTCGCACTTTACCAATCTCCAGAGCAAGTGCCGAGAACTTCCAACCTCGATGTACATCTACGCTAATTTACTTTCGCTTTCGACTCATATGTCTAATGGGCCTTTGTTAGGGAAAATGTACAACAGTTCCGCAGTAAATTTGATAAACTTGCCACTGCTTTTGTCAAAGAAATCGCTGCCTGCTGAACAACGCATTATTAAGCAAAATTAAATGTGTTTGTTACAAACACAATTAAATAATGATAAATAATGATAAAAAAAAGCTAAAAATGTTTCAGCTCCTTACCCGTTGCTTTTAGCAAAGCCCGGTATATTTTGGCGTAGCCAAATCCCTCGCCGTCCTCGTTTATCGAGAGTACACATTCATGTGCATGAACCACGAAAAAGGCCATGTCCATTGCTAAGACGGGAATTCTGTCGACCATTTCAGACATTTTAGGAAGTCTGAAATAGTGCTTCTCAACAAGTTCAACATGGATGCCACATTTCTCCAGCAATTTTTCAACAGGCTCTAGCTTGTATGTGTTATCACAGTTGAAAAGATGAATTCGCTTTTTGAACTGAGACATCTTAGCTTTTTTGAACGTAGTTGTCGATAAAACCTGGCACAATTCGCTGAAATGGAAGGAGGAAATTCAACTACGTAACATTGCAAGGAAACCCGACACTATCTTTGATTGACTTTTATCACACGAAAACATCACGCAACAGACTGGAAACGCATAACACCAATACCAAACGCTTTCAAAGGCATTCAAAGGCATTCAAAGTCCAAGGTCCCTTGCTAAGCCGGTCAGCGGTACTGAGGCTGTGCATATTTAGTGCAAAGATAAATTCGTCACTATTCTGTGATTTTGTTCATCCATCCTTTTAAGGTTTAATTTGTTACTTCATGGAATTGTATTGAGCAGTGGTGAACCAAGTGTATGTATCTATTTCATTAGCTCATGTTATAAAGCGCTTGGTGAGCGCTAAATACTCTTGATCAGTGTCACACTTGCTGCCTATTGTTTTAAAACTATCCGTTTATTTTTTTGGCTTGTAGATCTGTGTTGTAAACTCTTTATGAGCCCCTCTGTTTAATTTATATTCGCTTGTGTTGTAAACTGCTGAGAGAAAGTGTTGTAAATTGTGACAGCAAAAAATTGTGCTTATTTGTACTGGCTTGTGTTGTAAATTGGTTACCACTGAAGGTTGTGTTTCGATTGTGTTCATATTTTGGTTGTTTTGTATATTGGTTATTGCCAAAGAGTTGTTTATTATTTACTTGGCTTGTGTTGCACGTGTTGTTGGCTTGTTGTTTGCCTCTCATTAGAAAATATACATTGATTCTAAAACATCAACAATCAATTTCTATTTTGTAGAAAAAAAAATGACATCCTTTAAAAATAAAGCCAATGGATTGAAAATAACATTATTCTTTGGGGTATGCTAACAGAAAATACATGTGTGGATAAATAAATGAATAAATAATGTGTGAATGAATAAACCTTTGGTGGTGTGTACATATTTCGTAGAAGGCTTGTTGTTGTATGATGTCTTTATTGATGTTTCTTAGCTTTTTCATCCACAATATCACAAGTGTTTACCATTTTTTTATGACTGCCTTATCTGCTCATGTTGTACTTATTTATTCTACTTTCCCAACCTTGTCAAAACTGACTTATTCTACATACTCCTTCAAAATTATATGAGGAGAGATGAATTTGTTCTCAAAGGGCATATCAAACAGTGTTCCTCAATTTACATCCGGTAGTTGTAACTGTGGTAATCACTCTGTCATTGTCTTTTCGTTTACCACAACACAAAGTAAGATTAAAAAAAAACACATTTAGCAGAGATTCACCTTAAATTTTATTTCAGCCTTCCCATTTACATTTCTATTAACTGCCCTGATATTTTGGGAATTCAAAGTTTTATACAGGATTTGCCTTACCCTGTAACCCCTAAGAGGGATTAGTATCTAATAACCCCCTACAATATCATCCCTTAATCAAAAATTTAGGTCACACGGATAAAGCAAATGATCATGGATGAAAGGTCTTGATTATTAAGAAAATAATTAATTATCATCATCAGCACCTTAATAGGAAATGCATGGGGAAGAGTATGGAGAAGGTGCATACTGTATGATGTAACCAGCTGGGTGTAAAGGGTTAAGGAAATGTTTAAGTTCTGTGCAGCATTAAATCTCTCTACTTGAGGTGCTCTTTACTTCTTGATGTTATCACTTTGAAATTTGTTTTTCTTTCCTTGAAACAGTAGATAAAAATATGTTAAATACAAAGCCACTGTTCATATGTTCACTTATGAATCACTTTTGGAGTTTAACTTCAAAAATGTTTTCTTTCCAGCCTGATGACCAACTGCTTTTTCTTCATTGAATGTTGTTAAAATTGTGTGCAACTCAACATCACTTGATAGTAGAAATTCTGTATTATGCTGCTCATGTTTATCAGATGTTTATGCTATTAGTTAGACCGCATCTTGTAGGCCTGCCACACTCTGCATGTGTCTATATATGCTGTATAGATGAAAGGGGAAAGCTTTGATGATGGCTCAAAACACACTTTAAGAAGTACCAGTCTACTGTATCTTTGATTTGCATTGTTGTTATGTTATCAGTGTGCAAAAATAGTTGAGTTGCACAATCAAGGTTATTTTACTTAGAATGATGATTAGGTCAAAAAAGTTGGCACCAACCATGTATTTTTTGACAAAATAAGCAAAGTCCATGTATTTTCTTCTTTGATTGAAACAGATTTGATATCTCAAGTACAGAGTTAATTTAGCATAACATATAATTCATTTGTTGTTGTTATCATGTGGTGGCAAACATTGATGTCACCCCCTTTGATATAAATTTTGCATGGAGGTTGATTGGAGCTATACAATAAGGCTGTTTGAAGGGTTGTAAAAATGAGGCAGGATCTTAACATTTTGCAGCATGAAACAAGATACACCCCTCGTGACTTACAATCTAATTTGAAATTCTCAATAATTTAAGAACATATGATAAACATTATGATAGTCTATTATCCAAGGGACTTGCAAAGGGTAAAAGTTCTTTGAGATCATGTGGTGATGCCCAGCAAAGATTTCTGAGGATGTAACCACTTGCACTGTGACATTCTCAAAAAGGAAAAAATTGAGGATTGCCTTGCCAGCGAAGTTCCCTGCGCACAATAAAAAAAAAACCTGTTTCAAATTTATTAAATTATCAAGACTGGTCGACAAATAGAGAAGCCTTGGCTGTACTCTGTTAGGCATGCGTATCATGCAAGAGTTAGTGTATAACTGGGTGTGTTGCAGTAGGACACTTTGTGAACGTATTGTTTTCATGTTTGTGACAGAAAAAGAGCATAACTTTCAAAAGAACGAAAATATCGTGTTACTTCACTTTATCTTAACTCTCACAAGTTCTTTGTGGTCTATTGTTTCTATTGTCTAAATACTTCTAAGCAAAAATAAAATGCATCGATGCCACGCCTACTGTGGTCTCCTTCGAAGCGAGCGAGGTGTGCGGACGAATATTCGATCGCTCCATGTTAATGCAATTTTTTCCCTCTATGCCTAATCCAAATGTTAACTTGCTTGAAAAAGAAAATGAAAGCCTCAAATCAGAATTTGCTGCTCTAAAGAAAAATTTTAATACTTTCAGAATTCGCTCAAACTTAGCGTCAACAATGCTTATGTCTCCAACAATGGCGGCGAAGTGAGTTGACCGGCGATATCACAGGACGAGACTTTGAACACCCTGCAATTTTATGGCAAGTCTTACGGTGACCTTCGCCAGGAAGCGGATAAAAGTTTACAACAGCTCTGGTCACACCTAAATGTCCTGTCTAAACGAGTAGAAGAGATTGGGAAATCCATTGAGCTGATTCAGCGCTACAGTTATGAATACAGCGTAAAGATCGTCGGTCTCCCTGAAAATAAGGACAAGTGAGTCAGCCTCCGACACAACTACACTATGTCTTAACCTCTTTCAAGCTGCAGGAGTTGAAATTTCTATTCAAGATATCGATATTGCTCATCGTACTCTCACCAGAAACGCCACTCCTGGCCCGAGACCAGTCGTTTGCAAGTTCACAAGAAGGATTGGTAAAGAGAAGGTCACGAATGTACGGAAAGATGCATGCAAGATTACAGCTACTTCAATTGGTTTACCTGCCAATTCCACACTAGAGAACGTGAAGCTTTTTCATCATCTAACTCCGCTGGTCCAACAACTCCTGGCGAATACGAAAAAATTTCAAACTCGTAATGGCTTTAGGTTTTCTTGGTGTAAGAACTTCATCATCTATCTTCGGCAAACCGAAGACTCCCGCCCTATCCAGTTCAAAACCCTTGACGACCTTGAAAAGTTTGCACAGCAAGAAAGCCTACCTTTAAGCTAAGTTCTCTAAATTTTGTAACTTAGTCTGTAAATTAATTTGCTGCTTCTATAATGGTTGACAAGACACCCTTTCAATCTTTCCTTCCTTTTAATTACCTGGATGATAGTTCCTTTAATTTGGCAGTTTATGAATTTTCTTATGGCCCCTCGAGTTACGATGCTGACCGTCTAGAAACATTATTATTTAATCCTGTCGAAAGGCCCGAATTATTTAATCCACTCTGTAGTCATCTGAATCCCGACTCTAACTTTATCACTCGCCTGCCCGATAGTGGCTACACGGTTGAGGAAGATCTGAGCAATCGAGTAGCTTCTTTTGGCGACAAAACAAACTTTTCTATTATACATTTAAACACTCGAAGCTTAATGTGAAATTTCGATCAACTTAATTCATTGCTGAGAAATCTAAATATGCTGTTCTCTGTAATTGGTGTGTCAGAAACTTGGCTAACTGATTGCACTGCAGAGCTCGTAAATATCACAGGATACAATTTTGTCTCCAACCGTTGTAAATCGAAAACGGGCGGCGGAGTTGGAATTTATTTACAAAATGGTGTTGAATACAAACTTCTCGAAGAATGCAAATTTTAAGATCCAGATGTAATTGAGTCACTTTTCTTAGAAATTATGGTTTCCCATGGAAAAAATATTGTTGGTTGCGTGTACAGACCACCAAATCAAAACACTGCTATGTTTATTGACAAATTCAACAATATTCTCTCACTAATTTCTAAAGACAATAAACATTGTTATGTGATGGGAGACTTAAACCTAGACCTTCGTCAAACCTTCTTAGCTACAAGACGGAAATGCAAAAGTTTTTACTTAAATGATCACTGAATTGGCCTAGCCGCACATTCGCAGCACTTTTTTTTTACTTTATTTATAATAAAAGGTGATTCTCCTATAAGCCCGGTGGCTTCCTGGGTCTCCTCGCCTTCTAGCTATAACCGCTGTATATAATTCTTTTTTGTATCGTGTAAATAAGGCAAATAAAAAAGATGATGAAGCTGTTGTCCGCTCTTGCCACACAACGCCCTCTCTTCCCCGTTGAAGAGAGCGCGTTGAGTGACGAGACCAAATAACAGTTGCGAAAGAGTCGACTTACTGTCGTTTCTCTAACAGAGAAAAAAATTAAAAATTATTCTTCTACAGTTAGCTGGCTCAAAATATGATTCCATGTAATTTTGTAATTTAACTACGAAAAGCAAACTAAAACTGTGTTATCTTTAATAGACCCTGTTGAAACCGCCTCACTCCCATGCGTAACACGAGTTCGATCATGTAACACAAGTTTTCGA